AATGGTACATTCTCCTGATTTTTCAAGAAATGAACCAGCAGAATCTGAACAAAAACCAGAGAGTTCTGAAGAAAATAAAGAGGATAATGAATCTGAAAAATCTTTGAAGACAAGGGGTGTGTAAAGTAAAGAAACAAAAAATGAGTGTTCAAACAAAAACCCTGTTATTTGTGTTATAACATTACAGACAGTACAAAATCAAATGATACTGATGGAGAAGCAAGCCCAGCTCAAAAAGAAGGTAATAGTGGTTCTGCTTCTGAAGCAGAAGATGGAGTGAAAAGAGCAAAACCAATCATAGATTCTGATTCAGAAAGTGAAACAGCAGAGAAAGAAGCCTCCCTAGCTCCAACAGCAGATGCCCTTTTTGGAGATGCTAGTGATATTAGTACAGATGATGAAAAAGATAAGGAAAATGAAAAGAAAGAAAAGAGTCGTAGCAGGAGTAGAAGTAGAAGCAGAAGTAGAAGCAGAAGCAAAAGCAGGAGTAAGAGTAGAAGTAGAAGTAGAAGCCAAGACAGATCTGATAGTGGTGGTGAAGGTCCGAGTCAAGCAGTTATTGAAGATGTATGTACAAATTATCACAATTTATTTTGTGTAAAAAATAATGCAGTAATTAAAAGATTCTTAAAGAGCAATATTAATCATAACATATTATTTCTAGGATGTAGATAAAGAAAAAGAAGAAGAACCAGAACCTCCACCAGAGACAAGAATTGATGTAGAAATTCCAAAAATCACCACAGATTTGGGCCGTGAAATACATTTTGTAAAACTTCCCAATTTTCTTTCAGTAGAAACGCGGCCATTCGATACAGAAACATATGAAGATGAAATTGACGAGGAAGAAACTTTAGATGAAGAAGGTCGAGCTAGGCTAAAGTTGAAGGTTGAAAACACTCTTCGTTGGAGGGAAATCTTTGATGATCAGGGTAAGGTTGTCAAAGAAAGCAATGCCAGATTCGTAAAATGGTCTGATGGCAGCATGTCTTTACACCTGGGCTCTGAAATTTTTGACGTATATAAGCAGCCACTGCAGGGTGATCACAATCACCTTTATATCCGCCAAGGCACCGGTCTCCAAGGCCAAGCGGTGTTTAGAACTAAGTTAACATTCCGTCCACATTCTACAGAATCCTTCACTCATAGAAAAATGACAATGTCTTTGGCAGATAGATCACAGAAAACTTCTGGTATAAAAGTTTTGTCACAAGTAGGAACCAATCCAGATCAAAACAGATATGAGATGATCAAAGTGAGTTATATTTGTTTAATTTTATTTTATAACGAAATATATTTACATACAACAATGTATTATAATTTAAATATTATATCAACTTTTGTTACAATTATTTTTAGAAAGAAGAGGAGAAATTGCGTATGGCAATGCGAGTTCAAAGCAAAACAAAGAAGAGTTCTGCAGGTAGAGGAACAACTGGAAGACCTGTGGGTGGATATGGTGGTGATACTTACCACGATGACGGTTCAGATGATGAAGGTGCAATTTCTCTTGCAGCAATAAAAAATAAATATAAAAAAGGAATGAATATTCCTGTTAAAGGTTAGTTATATTTAATTTGCTTTAATAAAATTATTTAGTTATTTTTGTATATTTTCATGATTTCATATTTTAGCATCAAATATATATTCATCTGATGAAGAAGGTTCAGACTTTGAAACCTTAAGACCAAAGAAGAATATTAAAGGAAAAGTTCTTAAGGATTCAGATGAGGAATCAAATTCCGGAAGTGCTTCGGAAAGCGGCAGAGAAGATGACAATCAGGGCGATAACGCTAGTGACTGAAGTTTCAATGTTTTATTAAGATAAATTGTTTTTGTAATATAAAGGAATAAATTAATATTCTATCCGGAATAATGAAGTTAATTTTGTAGTCTGTAAAACTTATATATTTTTTTAAGTAATGAAATGTAATCGTAATATAATATCGCAATATCTAAATGATCTAGAAATTTTTTTACGTAAATAATTGGTAGCCCTGATTCATACACAGCTTAATACAGGGACGGCATCACAAAAGCATTTTTATCTTACGAACTACTACTCTTGTAGTTGAGAGTTATTATATTTCAATTTGTGAGTATAATTCCTGTTTTCATTAATAGTATTATCTAATCGTGTTAATATGTGTTAACTACACTTATCAATGTGTATAACAATATAAAAAGTGACAAGCTTTAGTTAATAAGTATTACTCTCTGATTTTTGCAAATAAATTGTAGAATAAATGAATGAGTTTTATTATATCTTCGCTTCATTGTTACGTATATTTTTACCCTTAGGTTAACCAAACATGTGATTTCATATA